GGCCCGCGCCGGGGCTCCGCGCCTGCTAGCTGCCCGGAGACTGCCCGAGAGCTTGGCGTGCGAGCGGAGGCCGGGCGGGCGGGCCGGGCACCTTACACGCTGGTCAGTTCTGAGACTCAAGCCGGTGCCCAACGGCAGTGTCCAGTGCCCTCCGTCGCTCCTGCGGGGCGTAAAGGTGCACGCGACCGTGGGCCTGGCCGCCGCCCCCAGGCCGAAGCGCCTGGAAGCTGTTGGCAGTCCCACGGCTTCATCACACACCGCCCTAGACTTCCCGCGGCCGGCTGTCGGGGTGGAGATGCTTCCAGTTGGTTTTCCACCACGAAGCCGGTTTTAAAAGTCACCTTGGTGACCTCAGGAGTCAGTAAGGATTATCCCCTCCCCCCATCGGGGGCGCAGTGCGGGGTGTCATTGCTGTGCACCCATCTTGTGTTCAGTTTGTGCCTCCTGGAAGTACAGCACCTTTTATGTGCGGGTGGGCAGAATAATGGCCCTCAGTATGTCCATGTCCTGGTGTCCAGAATCTGTGAATTATTATGGGGGGACTGCAGACGTGGTCAAGGCAAAGGTAGGGATGGGCTAGACCTGTGGCCCTGCGTAATCACTCACAGGGCCCCTAGATAGCAAAGAGGGAGGTAGGCAGGAGGGTCAGAGAGATGATGTGCTGGCCGCAGGGGGCATGGTGGGCCATGTCCCGGGAGTTCACGCAGCTTCTAGAAGCTGGGAAAGGCAAGCACACCCCCTGACACCAGAGCCCCCAGACTGCGCAGACCTTAATCACTGGCTGTGGCTAAACCCGAGACCTGGTGGTCATTTCCTACAGCATGCACAGGAAAGGGGCCCACGGGCCTTTTGAGCTAATAGTGGGATGGTGGACAAGACCGCTCCCCATGACAGCACCTCGCCCTCTCCCCTGTTAACTCTCTCCTATTCCCAGGTGGGGTTCTGAGCCCCAGCCTCTGCTCATTACATCCTCAAGATGACTCCAGGACCCCACTTGCAGAGAGGAAACCAAGTTTCAAACAAGGGAAGAGGCACGGGATCTGGTTGAAGTTAACGCCCATCTTAAAATTGTGAGATCCTGTGAAGGATAAATATGTTTTACTGATTTACCATGGATTTGCAAAATTATATATATTGTGAGGGGGTGCCTCTTTGCCTCTAGGTATGTAGGTGAATCAGTGGTAAATCAATTTTTGTTAAAAAATATAGATAATGCTAAACTAACTTCAAAAAAAGATCAGTTTGCTCCATTCCCAGACTTCAGTAAGATAATTGAATTCTCTGTAACTTTGCAAAAATAAAAGTATCAGTTGTATCATTATTGACAATTAAATATGACAATAAGGCCCTTCCTGGTGTCGCAGCCGGTTAAAGCACAGCACTGAGAAGCTAAAGCCACTTCTGCATGAGTTCGATCCCCGCCTGCTCCGGAGGTGACCACAGGGTGCGGCAGACCTCTCCTGACCCGCCCGCTGCTCCCCTCAGCAGTGTACTTTGTCGATCTGCCTGTTCTGTTCCCCACTCGGTCTCTGGTGAAGCCTCTCACCGCCCCTGAGCCTCTGGCCTGTACCCCAGTTCTGTATATACAAATAAATAAATCTTTAAAAAAAAATGACAATAATAGCTAAAGAAAATGAGTGTTTTGAAAGGTAAAGCTCAAGAAGCCTTCAATTTCTTAGTGGTTGGGGTTTGCTTTATTTCATACTTATGACAGTGTTGCAGTGACTATTAAGTTCTATTTGGACTTGTTTTAAAAATCTCTACTACGATGCTTGTTTAAGATTGTCCATGAAACCTGATGTTTTTCTTCTTTATTGGGACTGGATTATAGGTGTCTGGATAATTTTGATGTGGAATACTTATTTCCTACCTGACATACGGTAATAATTAAATATATTCAAGCTTGTTTGTTTATAAGACTCTGTTCTGAATCATAAGAACACAAATTTCACGGTAGCCCTTGAAGGGATGGATGTTGAATTCATAAGAGACCAGATAGGCTGGAAGACATTGCTTTCCAAGGATGACTTCCAGAACAAACAAAAATGAATGTATAGGAAAGAAAAGATTTTAGTCTTCCATCAATGTTGAATCATATTCTCTGAAACTCTTTAATTTAATGGCTGGAATCTAGAATTCATTGTGGAATCATACCTCGGCCATTAAGATTGTATTCAGCTAAATCATTTTTTTAAAAAAGCATGAGTTTGTCTAGAGGAATTGCAGCGGGGCTGCCCGGGAGGTGCTGGGGTTAAGTGTCAGCACTATGAAGCTGTCACCAGCCACTGCTGCTTAGTTGAATTCCATCCCCAGCCAGGGAGGGACCCACAGGGCGCAGCAGACCCCTCGTGTCTCCCCGCTGCTCCCCTCGGCAGTGGATTTCAGTCGATACACCTGTTCTGCTCCCACTGTTCTGTCCCTGGTGACTCCTCTCACCCCCCGCACCTCTGGCCTGCACCCCAGTTCTTGTGTGCATAGATAACAAATCTTTTAAGAAAAAGAATTGAAGAGAGAAAAACAGGACCCGGGATTTCTGGGTTGCTGGTCCCTCTATATTTTCTGCTTGTTCTCAACCCAGGTGCGTCCACAGAAGCGCTGAAAGAAGAGGGGCGGTCGCCGCCCTCCGCGCCCGCACCTCCGGCAGCCAGCGGCCCCAGGAAGAGCCGGTGGGGCTTCGTAATCACCGGGGCCGTCGGCGGCGCGCTGGTGGCCGTGTATGCTGTGGCCACGCCGTTTGTCACCCCGGCCCTCCGCAGAGTTTGTTTGCCGTTTGTGCCTGCGACGGCCCAGCAGATCGAGAACGTCGTGCAGCTGCTGCAGCGCAGGAAGGGCTCGCTGGTGGACATCGGCAGCGGCGACGGGCGCATTGTGAGTTTGGCTGGAGACTCCGGAGTGAGGTTTGGAACTGGGATTGTTAACATCACTGGGAGGCTTTGCCTAAGACTGGCCGTAACTGACAATTGGATGGAGTAGTTTAATTTTGTGTGTGTTTGGCCAGACGAGCAAACCCTCCAGCATGAATTTAGAATTTATTTTTCTTCAATTTTTTTCTTAAAGTTCTTTGTAGCTATCCCACGTAAGAAGGAACTCTTAATCGGTAATGATGAAATTGTGCATTGAAAAAGGTGCACCAACAGAGTTGGCGTAAGTAGAAGTAGGTTAAATCATGGCGTCTCACCACTCCAGTATTTCCCGTTCGCACCCTACATGTTTGCGTCTGTATCTTTTTCTGTTTCTACGTGTCTGTTAATCTCTGCCTGGTGATATTGTGGAGTTGGGAAGAGGCACTGCCTTCATCCCCACTCCTCCAAGATCAGACTGAGGGACTTCAGCTCACTCTGACCCTGGCTGCAAACCTATGAAGATAAAGACTTAAGGCCATTGACCACTAGGGGGTGTTCCAGAATGCTCTGTGGGTAAGGCAGCCCGGTCCTCAGGTGACGGGAGGAAGGCTGCACGGTGGGGCCCTTAGCATAGAACCTGCAGGCCTTGAAGCCTTGGACCCTGTCATGTCTGTGCACCCGGAAGCCCTCAGGAGCAGGTCAGAGGCGACTGACTGTTTCAGAGAAGTCAGCAGCTGTGCATGTCAGTGAGAGGAAGTTTTAACACCCAGAGTTAGGTGGATGAGGCTTCTCCAAAGTTGCTTCCTTACGGGGTGAGACAGTTGCTTGGGAAGGTCCCTCAGGCGGCGCACCCACTCAGGGAGGTCCCCTGGAAGAGGGGTGGCAAGACAAGCTGAGTGGGGGACCCGGGACCAGCCCACCTGGTCAGCAGCGGCCGGCGCGCCCATCCCGGTCTGGGGCTCCTCCCGTTGGCCTGTTGTCAGTTCCGAACGGACGATCTTAACTGCCAAGGAAATGTGCCACCTGCTGCGTAGTCCTTGTGGTCAGGTTGCTTTTGTTAACGACCACAGCCTGCTCACTGGACGCTCCCAGGCGGGTTCATCTTGCGGCTATCTGTGACCCTCCCGTGGCTGGTGGGGCCAGGCCGGTGATGCCGCTGTCCGGCGCGAACCCAGCCGTGTACTCCGATGCAGAGGGAAGCCTTGGACGGAAACGGGGCAGCTGAGCTTCCCGGCCGACTTTCTCTCTCCCCAAAGCCCAGGCACCTGGAGACACATCTTGAATGTCTTAGACAAAGGCGGTGACTTGGTGGGATACTGAGGACAAAGGACCGTAAACAGGACGTGTTCACGCCATCGGAGCGTGCAGGTGGTTCCCTCTTGGGAATAAACGCTGCCTCTTCCTGCAGGTGATCGCGGCAGCCAAGGAGGGATTCACAGCGGTGGGCTACGAGCTCAACCCCTGGCTGGTCTGGTTCTCCCGGTACCGCGCGTGGCGAGAGGGGGTGCAGGCCTCGACCCGCTTTCACATCTCGGATTTGTGGAAGGTGCGTGAGGCCACGGCGGCCCTGGAACCTTTGTGATTCACGATGAGTATGAGTAACACTGAGATGTTAATGAAGCAGAAACAGAACGCACCTGAATGCTTCGCACGGAGCTGTGGCCACTTCTGAGGCGGCAGGTTACAACCTGCTCTTGGTGGCGGGAGAGTGAGGTTTGGGGCAGGATGGCCGTGCGATCCTGAGGATTTGTTTGCTCGGTTGAAGCAGTTTTCATTTCTGGTTATTTTGGAATGATGAGGTTATCGCAGCTGGAAATCTTATCAGCTGCTGTTCAAGCATTAACTTGTTGATGTCATTCTAGGTAAGGAGCAGACCTTTCAGGGGGTGGGTGGGTGGGTGGGATTCGAGAGATGGACACGGGGAGGAGAGTTGAGATCCAGCAGCCGAGCTGTCCTGGCCCTCTGCCCTTCATAAAGCATGTGGCGTGGCCAGGCCCATTCATAGTCCAGGCTCATGGCGGAGCACCGCGTTGGGCCAGGCCCCAGGAACGTGGACGTGGCCAGAGTGAGACACGTGCGCTCCTGTTTCCCATGTTTCCCTTCTCCTAGTAAGTGCGCAATAGCATTATGTTTTTTTTTTTTAAAGATTTATTTATTTATTTGTGTATACAGAGCTGGGGTACAGGCCAGAGGTGCAGGGGCGGCGAGAGGCTTCCCCAGAGACAGAGCGGGGAGCAGAACAGGCAGATCGACGAAGTCTACTGCTGAGGGGAGCAGCGGGCGGGTCAGGAGAGGTCTGCCGCGCCCTGGGGTCACCTCGGGGCAGGCGGGGATCGAACTCATGCGGAAGCGGCTTTAGCTTCTCAGTGCTGTGCTCTAACCCGCTGCGCCACCAGGGAGGGCCAATAGCATTGTGTTTTAAAGAAAGCAGAGTATGCATCTGAATTAAAATTTTCTTACTGCAAAAATGGTAACTCACAGAGCTACTGGCACAGTGGTGCCGGTGGGGTGCTGGATGCCAGGTGCTCACGGACCCGCAGTCGTGGGGAGCACGAGCCCAGCGGCACACAGTGAGCCCGCTGCGTGAAAGGAGGCGCGCCCGCCCCTGAAGGGCGCCCGGTGGTTCTGTCTCAGGCATCCTCCTTCAGTGCCTTGAATAAGAACTTGCACCGGAACATTGTCATCAGTAGTTCGTAAACACTCAGTTGCGTTTTGCGCGCATTGTCTTTATATCGTGTATAAACGATCTCTCTCCAGAGTAAATAAGACTTTTATTGGGTAATAAGAATTTTGACTGGCAAAGCACTTCCCCAGTTTTTTCAAGTAAAGACCGTTTCATTGCATTTTTTACTTAGTACTTTATTTTATTTATTTATTTTTCAAAGATTTATTTGTTATGCACACAAGAACTGGGCTACAGGCCAGAGGTGCGGGGTTGGGGGTGAGAGGACTCTCCGGAGACAGAGTGGGAGCAGAACAGGCGATCTATTGAAATACACCGCTGAGGGGAGCGGTGGGGAGACAGGAGGGGTCTGCCGCGCCCCGTGGGTCACACCCTGACCGGGGATCGGACTCCTGCATCAGTGGCTGGTGACGGTCTGGCCAGTGCCGTGCCTTTACCCCAGAGAGGCCCTACTTAGTGCTGTAGAGAAGAGGGCGTCAGAGTTGAGGACGCGCCCCGGGCACCCTGGATCTGGTGAGCAGTGGACTTGAGCAGAGCATGGGCAGCGGGGTCGGGCGGCCTGGCTTGGCCACCGCCTGGTCAGTCGCAGGCCTTTCTCACATGACGTGACCAGGGAGGTGGAGAGGCCTGGGGTCCTCGTGGCCGCCCCGAGGGCGGGACCCTCCCGGGCAGCCTTTGGAAAACCCGTGGCTGGTCGTCTCTCCCGATGACGTGGGACAGAGGCCTGTCCTGGTGGCAGCCCAGTGTCGATAAGGTGGGAAACTTACTTTGGGACAAGAAAATCTGAACTGTTTGGCTTTTACAAATCAACGCCTGAACCCCTCTGTCCCGCTTCTCCTAGGTGACTTTTTCGCAGTACTCGAACGTTGTGGTCTTCGGGGTGCCTCAGATGGTGAGTGCTGCGGTGTCCGGCCCCGGGGTTGGCTCAGGCTCTGCCCAGCCCTCTCCAGCACGTGGCCTTCCTGCCGCCGGCCCAACTGCCGTTTGACCAGGTGCTTTGGGCCTGAAATGTTGAGTCAGGAAATGGCCATAGTTTTTATGTTTTAATTACTTTTACTTTGTAAAACAGATTTTATTAATACACACAATTACTGGGGTACAGGTCAGAGGTGTGCGGGGTGGGGGTGGGGGTTGAGGCAACTTCCCAGAGACAGACTGGGGAGCGCAACAGCGGATGCACCGAGACCCACTGCTGAGGGGGCCGCGGGGAGACAGGCGGGTCTGCCGCGCCCTGGGGCCCCGCCCTGGCGGGGACCGAGCTCGTGCTGCACGGCTGCGGCTTCGTGGTGCGGCGCTTAGCCCGCTGCGCCGCCAGGGAGGCCTGCTCAGGGTCTCTCAGCAGCTGCCTCCAGCAAAGTCCTCAGTTGTCAACAGACCCAGTCGGAAGCCGCGTCCCGAGCCCCTGGAGGCGTAGGTCAGGCCCTTGCCCTGCCGCCCCGCCGCCGCGGGGGAGGGCCGCCCTCTGCCACCCAGGCTGGGGCGCCGCGGCGGCCCCTGTGGGCTGGCTTCACTGGCCTCGGGGTGAGCCCTCTGCAAAGGGGGACGCGGCAGGAGTGAGGCCGGTCCTCAGGCAGCACCGGAGACGCGGCCCGAGCCAGGCTTTGCTGTCGCTGTTGCTCTGCAGGCTGCCGCGGGAAGCCCCTCACGTTTCAGTCTGTGATTGTAGCCGTAATATCGTGGTGGGATCGATGCTTGCGGAAAACCACTCTATGACTGACATGGCGTTTAATGAAAAAAAAAAAAGAGGAAATTTGCTTTTTGGTGGTTTTATTTTCTTATTCGCCCTTTAATTTTTTTGTATAAGATGCTTCAACGCTTGAGAAATTTTTTTAATGTGAGGGACCTTCAGTATAATGCTATTTTCTTTTCAAGTTGATGGAGTGGGAATGCTCTCGCTAGCCATGAAAGTGACAAGGTTCTCTGTGCCTGCAGTCCGTTCTCAGAAAGCCTGAAATTAGGATGAAGTCTGGGTGTCTGCACTTCTGCTGTAGAGCCAGACGAGGCCGGAGGCCCGCTTGCCGGTCATTTGCAGGGGCTGGCTGGAGTCACAGGCTTGCCGGGGAATCTGATGGTTATTTACTACTTCTGCTGCTTGGGCCTTTCTGTGTTTAATTTGAAATATTTTTTCAAGCTGGCAAAACAACAAGAGTAATTCTTAAACTCTGTGAGAAATATACTGGAGACCAGCAGGGAAGGGAAGGGAGGGGAGGATGAGGAGGGGATGGACAGTCCAGGGCGGTGGGCCGGGGTGGTGGAGCTTGGTGCAGGGCGGAGGCAGCTGTCCACAGGGAGGGAGGAGTTGTGCTGCCCAGATTTTCTAGTTAGTCAACGACTGGCAGATCAAAATTTGATAGGGAGGGAAAGCATTTGTGTTAATGTTTAATTTAAGTGTTAATTTGAAATCCATGTGCCGTGAAGAGCCTGGTGCCGTCTGCAAGGCGGGAGAAGCCCCATCGGGGACCGGCAGCTGTGGGCCAGCAGGGGCAGCTGTGGGCAGGGCCCCTGGGGTCCATCTAGGGAGCTGTCGGTGCTCAGCGTGGCCCCGGGGGGCTGCCCACACAGCCGTAAGAGTCCTGCTCCTTCCATGAGGCCTCCGCCGTTGTCTGGGCGGGAAGTGAGCGCCTGTGGCCTCCCCACTCCCGAAGGGAGGGTGGCGGGCGCACCCAGCCCGCGGCTCCGCGGCTCAGGAGGTGGTCTGCGGGGCCAGTCCAAGAGGTGGGACTGGCCTGACCGGAGAGGGAGGGGCTCGTGCCGCTGTGTGGCACAGCGTGCCCTGGGCTGGCCTGCACAGCGTGTCCGGCCGAGGGACAGCCACTGCGAAGGCCGGGGCGGGGTGAGGAGGGGGATGGCGGCGGCCGGGAGGAGGCCGGCCCTCGTGAGCTGTGCCCGTGCGCCATGAGGAGGGCGGGTCCCGCGCATGGAGGGACCACGGGCCGCCCTGGGAGAGAGAGGACCCAGCGGCGCCAGGGTGACTGGCCTGACAACTGAGGTTTGGCGTTGCCCTTTGGACCGGGAAAAGGGCAGGCTGAGCTGCTTGGGGGACAGCGGGAGGGGTGTGGGTGTGAAATTGGGGACGTGCAGGGTGCAGGTTGGCGGCCGGGGCGGTGGCATCAGGTGGCTCAGGCGTCATGGGCCAGCGGTGAAGCCCAGCAGAGGCTGAGGGCCCCCAGGAGGGCAGCGCCCCGCCACCTGAGCCCTGGCCTCTCACCTCAGAGCCCTGGGAAGTGAGGGGCCCTCAGCAAAGGACGGGGAGTGGGAGCTGGGGAGGAGGGGCGGGCAGGAGGGCAGACTGGGGGAGTGGGCCCGGGGGGCGCAGAGGGAGGCTGGCACCCTGGAAACTAAGTGGGGAGCGGGGGATGGAGTGACCTGCTGGGATGGATGTGCTACTTTGCTTGACGCCTTCCAGGTGAGCTGGCTTCACCTGACGTTTAAAGTCCTGAAGAAGTGATTGGAATGTGACGCGCGGGTGTTGCCTTGAAACCCGTGATTGTGGGAGCCCCTGGCCTTCTGTTAGCGCCCGGCGCTTGCCTGGGCGCAGCAGCGAGACTGGCCTCTGCGCGTGCTTATGTATAGTTCAGCTGCTAGTTGCTTTTGATCGCAGTAGCGCCTTTCGTTTCTAGGTTTATTTCGACTTAGCATATGACAGCCATCTGGAGAGCAGAATCGCAGTCCCGTGAGCACGTTTTCGGTGATCCTTTCTACGAGCAAAGTCATCACAGGCGACCCTGATATTTTGGAAAAACACGTTGTCTCATTCTTTGCTTATTTAACTTTTCCCTCAAGGAACAAAACCCTCCCTCCCTCCTTCCTTCTGTCTTCCTCTCACTCTTTCATTAGCGCTAGAGATCAGTTATGTCCCACCCGTGATGGGACCCTTATTTGTTATCTTGCTATGGAATATGGACTCTGTCGCCTGGGGTCACGCAGGGGTGTTTTCCCAAGCACTTTTTAAAGCTACAGGTCAGGGACGAGTCTTCACAGAAGCACGGCTGATTTGGTATTGGTTTAAAGGGAGCAGTTTTTGCTCAGGTCTTGGTTTCTAAGAAGTGCGTCCCAGCCGGAGGGGTCAGGGATGCTGGAGCCGGGCTGCTCAGGGCCTGAGCAAGGGGGTCCCGGACTGGGCAGCTCTGTGAGTTGGGGTGTGAGGGCCAGAACATGCGAGGGCTTGTCCTGGGGGAGAGCTGCCAGCTTGAGGTCAACCTGCAGTCTTCAGGCACACGGTGGGCAGGGCAGGCCGGGTTGCAGTCGTGAGGGAGGAGCGTCTGGGCCCCCACGCCCAGGGCGCTGGCTGGCAGGGGGCTGGGAAGGGCAGCTCTTCCCTGCAGGAGGGACAGGGCTAGCTTTGGCCACTTGCTGCAGGGCTGGAAAGACCTTCCAGGGCCGAGTCGCCAGCGGTTCTGCAGTGGGGGGGCCCCAGCTGAAGATTGACAGGGTGTGCACATCCTCTCACGGTGTCCCCCCAAAGGACCCGCTTGTTAGGAAGGGACAAGAGTAACCACAGTGTGGGCACGCGAGCCACCCCTGGGTCCCCGCCTTGGCATCGCGTCTGAGGAGGGACGCCGGGGCCTCCGCCTGTGGTCCCCAGAAGGTCACAGCCCCCAGATGGGCGTGTCCGAACACACGCTGTGTGTCCAGGTGCAGACGCCAGCGACCCCAGCTGTCCACTGCACCATGGCCATTTGAGACTGACCTAAACCCGACTGTTGACACTGTCTGTACTGAAATTAGCAGCAGTTTTCTGCTCTCAGCAGCGATGGTACGTCTCAGCCAGTAGCATCTAGAGTCAAAGAAGTATGGTCAATAAGTAAAGTTTAGGTCAGTAAGTCGCTCCTCGTTTAATCATCACCACATGATGGTGTCAGTCAGACTCCCAGGAGCCGGGGGCAGCTGCTGAGAGGGGCTGATTCACAGTGGCCCCGAGGAGCTGCTCTGTCGGCGTCGTTAGAGACTTCTGTAGTTTGCGTGGATTACTGGGCGATGTCCGTAGGCCCCGGGGTCCTTTTCACAGGTAACTTGTGCACAGGTATGTGGTGGAATCATCTCCCCTTACCAGACACTGTCATTGCCCACAGATGCCGCAGCTGGCCAAGAAGCTTGAGCTTGAACTTGAGGATGGTGCCAGAGTCATCGCTTGCCGGTTCCCGTTCCCGAACTGGACCCCTGACGAGGTCACGGGCGAGGGGATCGACACCGTGTGGGCGTACGATGTGAGAACCTTCAGAGGGAGCGGCGGGAGGCCCCGGGGGTCCGCACCCGGACAGCTGGCCACGCAAACGTGAGCGGCGCCGAGAGCCTTTTTCTGAAATGCCGGCGGCCCCCGGTGCCCACTCGCAGCCGTGTCTCCTGCAGGAGTGTCTCTCTTTGGTCCAGATCGAGAAATTCCCACTTCCCTTAACTTGTGCAGGAAGCAAGTGGCGAGCAGAAGCTGGACTTAAAGCCCCATTTCGGGGTGTATCTGCCATCTGTGCTGCTCTCCCGTGTGGGACGGAGTGGGACGGCCCGGGCCGGGCGGGGACTCACCGGCTCTCCACATCCTGGGCACCGAGACGCCGCGCCAGGGAGGAGAACAAACCGCTGGTGAAGAGGGCAGGGGCCGGCCGCGTCTTAAGTCTTAGGCACATGTAGGGTTCATCTCTCCCGCAGGTCGTGACAAATTTTCTAAAGGATGTAGAGAGACATATTTTGTAAAACATAAAATATAAAACCGGGAATCATTTGTTCCAGAGTTAATTACTCTCTGTGAATCCACTGTGTGTCGTGCGTGTGCTCAGACACAGTTTAACGTTTCTGAGTTCTGAACACTGTCTTGTACCCTAGTGACACTGGTTCACAACACTGTAGAGATCCCAGGCGTGCGCTGCAGTCATGGCATCGATGTGCACATCACACCTGCTGCCAAGGGCCGGTGCCACCCCCACATCTCACCAGGCCCGGCCTGAAGCAATTCATTCATTCATTTATTTATGCATACAAGAGCTGGGGTGAGAGGCAGAGACAGAGAAGGGAGCAGAACAGGCAGATCGAAGAAGGACACTGCTGAGGGGAGCAGCGGGCGGTCAGGAGAGGTCTGCCGCGCCCTGTGGGTCACCTCCGGGGCGGGGATGGAACTGGAGCTGAAGCGGCTTTAGCTTCTCGGTGCTGCGCTTTGACCCGCTGCGCCACCAGGGAGGGCCCCAACTTCCCTTTTTTAACGTCAGTTATAATGGTGACACCGTGGGGCCGAACACGGAACAGCGACTCCTGTACTTGCCGGTGTTGTGCGTTACGTCCAGTCTGCAGCTCTTCCCCGGCTGAGGGCTGCCCTGGCTGCTTTGCCGCCTGGCCGTCGGCCCTGGCTGCTGCCCTCTGACCTGTGGCCTGTGGGCTCTTCCTGTGCTTCCTCGGCCCTGCCCTTCTGCATTAAAAGGTTCTGAATACGATTGAGATTGCACAGCTGAGCCCTAAACAAGCCTCCGGCCTTGCTGTTTGCTCAGGTTGGGAGGCTTCCTCTCCATGTTTATATTTGCCTTTTTGGCCCATCTGCTGACACAGCACCACTGTTGTTTCCAGTAAATGAAAGGCAAACATTTCCCCACTTAGGAGTTGGGAGAGGGAGGGGAGAAGGCGGCCTCAGCGCTTCTGGAGGCCATCAGGAGTGATGGATGATCAGGAGTGATGGATTCACACCGCACCAGGCTGCGGGCCGGGTCACATGTCTGCATTTTGTGTCTTCGGGAGTTTGGCGATTATTATTCCTTTAGGCTTTTACTGGTGCTTTCTGAGACATGAATTTTGATCCTATGGAGAGTTTCCATTTCAACAGAAGGTTCTAATCTTTTTTTTTCAGGCTTAAAGAATCACTTTGCTATAGATCACAAAGGATTCTGTTTAGATGGATAAGAACAAACAAGTTTTTAAATTTCTCCAACTGACTATTGGTCAAATCCTGCAAACTGCTCACAAACGTGAAAGTAATTCAGATGATTATGATGAATTCTTCCCTAGGAGCAAATGAGCTGTTGCTGGAACTAAAACAAGAAAGAGGCCTTTACTGCACAATTTATATGTGGAGGGAAGTGAAGGATGATGATTTGCTATTTACAGGTTTTTTTTTTTTCCCTACAGCAGGAGAAGTTTCAAAGTGGCTTTGATATATTTTTCTTTTCATTTTCAGTCCTTTATTGAGAAAAACCAATACTCTGTTCTAAGCGAAAGGGAATATTTTCCAAGCATAGGCCAGTGATAACACACATAAATACTGTGTAGAAATGTCTTCAGGTATTAACGGTAGAGGGCGGAAGCTCTACACTTAAAGAAATGAGGTATACTTGTCATCCAGGAACATTGGCCCTTCTCAGTGCGCAGGGCTGTGAGTTCAGGCAGGTAATCGAGTCCTGCCTCCCATCTGGCAGTGCTGATGTGTTTTCTGTCCTAGCGCTTTGCCTTTTCCAGATGTCATGTAGCCGGGGTCAGACCGACGACACCTTGTGTGTCCAGCGTGGGGCGTGGACATCCATCCAGTGGACACGTGCTCATTACTTCTTGCTGGGTCCATGGATACATGGTTCTGACCATTTACCATTTATCAGGGACAGGCATTTGGATTTTCCCCGGTTCTTGATGAGCTTGAATGAAACCACAATAAACATTTGCGCATACGTTTTCTTTCTGGGGACAAGAGCTTTTTTGTTGAAGCTGGGTAACCCCCTAGGTGCAGGGCTGCTGGCTTGTATCAGCAAAAAGAAGAAAGTTGGAGAACTCACACTTCCCAGTTTCAAAAGTTTCTATGAAGTGGCAGCAACCAAGACTGTAAGGTACTGGCCTAGGAATAGACTTACAGGTCAAGGAAATAAAATTGAGGCTCCAGAAAGGAAATCACACATTTATTAAGTTTGACCAGGGCGCCATGACAATTCAGGGGGCAAAGAATAGTTCTGAATGAATGGGGCTAGGCAGCGGGGTATTCACACGGAGAAGAATAAAGCCGAACCCTGCCTCACACTGTTCAGAGAAATGAACTCTTAATGGATCAGAGCGCAGAGTGGAAGAACTAAAACCAGAATTTAAAAAATGGAAGTAATGGGCCCTCCCTGGCAGCTCAACGGGTTAGAGCCCAGCACTGCAAGCTGGCAGCAGCCACTTCAGCACTGGTTTGATCCCCGCCCCGGAGG